TTACAATTGCTTAGTAGCTGGCATCTGATTGCTGCAAAATGAATCTTTCATAACAGGATTTATTGTAAATAGTGTCATATCACTTGTGAGTTCTGCAATAATTTCAGTCAAAACCAGTGCAAGATGTTGAACGTGTGAGATTTATATGATATATATGCTAGCTTATACACAGATTATAAAACAATGTTTTTTATTATCAATATTCTTTCTTTAACTGTAATTTTTTTCTGGAATTTTAAATATTCTCAAATAGTATAACTTTAAAGCCCAGATGAAAACAAATTAACTACTTCATTTTAGCAGCTGCCTTAGAATTGCAAGACCCCAAATCCCCTGACTTCCCCTTCCATCTTAGTTGTTAAATAAGCATTAAGTAAGAATGTGGCTTTTATATTGTTTGGAAGCAACAAAGATCCTAGTGGTCATGATTAGTGAGCAATATATCCTATCAGAAAAAAAATTCAAAACATATTTTGAAGCCTATAGAACACACCTAAATTGTTTTATTATAGAATGGAAAGATGGCAATAATTTAAGTGATCAATACTCTTATTTGCCTTTGGATTTAGTTCCAAATACTTCACTGGAAACTCATAAAAGATCAATATCAAAGTGCACAATACAAATTGTACTTTGCATATCTGAGAATTTGGTGATGTTCCATGTACCTCATAGTTTTAATTGTGAATGAACTAGAACCCCTGAAAGGTGCTATGTCATAGTCACACAACCTTCCTACTCAAGACCTGAATAAGGGAAATGCAAAAAAGAAAAAAGAAAAAAAAACAAATAGCAGGGTCTAAAAATTTGGATAATTTCTCTTTCCCTGCTCTAAACCATAACAACAGAAAATCCATTTTTTCTTAGTTTACCATGTATTTGGGCCTTTCTCTTAAAAATATGAATAGGAGAATGTAGTATCTCAGCAAGATCTGACTCAAGAAGTCTTACTCTTAGATTATCTAGAATCATGACAGAGGAGGGTTTTTATAAGGGAAAAATTTTCAGATAGATCCTTCTTCATTTATTTAAAAGGAAATATCCTACATGCATGCTAATGTTCACCATTCTAAATGGGGAATTCCCTATTTCTAAACCAAAGAATTTCAGTTTTCCCCCTCCCTTAAGCAGGTGTCTTTCCATCTCTAACAAATCAAAGAAGGTAAAAAGACAGCCTTTCAGTGGTGCCTGATGTGTACTTCAGTAAGTTTATTAATCAGGGCACATATAAATTGGAATGAATCATATTCATATATTTAATAGCAAACAAAACTCTATTTAACTCGTGTCCAGCTTTCTTTCATGTTCATTTTGTTCAAGGGCATACCTTCCTACTTCTGCTTCTTATTTTTTCCTTTCTTTCTTGGGCACCTCCAACCCCCATTGACAACCAAAATGTGGGGCTATAAATGTAAGAATGCAATACATCATGAGGTAGGTCTAGGGAACATGTCCTCTACCAAATGCACATGAATCTCTAGTACAGCTAAAATTCTGGAATCCTGCTGGGGTTCATTTTGCATGCTAAGCAGGGTCAAAAATGTGAGCTCTGTGTGGTTGTCCTTATTTATCAGAGGAGCTACAAAGTTGAAAGTTTACCTCTGTGCAATTGCAGCTGAGTTGCCCAGCTCTTGATTCTAGCTCCTGCAAATCAAAGAGTCAACTGAAAGACAAATCTGACAATATGATAATCTTCTAATAAAAAAAAAAGTGACTTCTGAACCCTTATCTGTTGAACTGACAAGTTCAGAGATGGTTGTTTAACCAGACAAAATGATAAAGAAAATATGTTTTCCAACAAGATCATAAAGCTTGAATAGTGCAGGGAAACAAATGCAAGGCAAGGGGCTGTTGTCTATTCTGTCTACCAGTTCTGCTTCCCCCATTCCCGGGTTTGTATACTCAGCCACTCACCTCCTAGACAAGGGCTAGTGTCTTCCAAGTCAGACTCCCCCCCATCCCAATACCAAGACACTGTAAAGTGGCATCTTGGCATACTTTGACTCAGACGGTTTCTGCATTTCATAGCTGGGAGGGGGGTGGAAGGAAAAGCAGCATACCAATGTAGTGAAATCTGGAAACAACAGCATATATACAGACACAAAAAAAAGTTTGCATATTGCACAGAGCGCTTGAAGATCATAAATCTATGCATGAGAAAGATGTAGTGGAAATTTTGGGGGGGATTAGAGTTTATTTTTGTCATCTCTCTGAGACAGCTACTCATTCATCCAGATCACAGCTAAGAAAAAAGCTGGTCACAGAAATTAGCAGTTTCAGCTCAGCAGCGAAGTCGCCAGCCTGTGAAGGCAGAGAGAAATTGACTAATTAGCAATGCGCACTAAAACTTGACGGTTCTTTATAGAGAGAGAGAGAAGAGAGAGGGAGAGAGAGGGAGAGGGAGGGAGGGGGGCTCGCTTTTTCCCCTTCTTTCTTCCAAAGATGTTTGAAATCGCAGTCATTTACGCTCGACAATTTTTACAATAGCCTTGAGCCATAATTTTGCGAGTCTCTCCAGCATCCATCCCCCTGTACGGTCTCTCTCTACTGGCCAAGCACGACCGTTTCTCTCCCCAACCGTGGATTTCCTATTACTCTCGTTACGACTCACTGAGCCCCAGGCCCAAGGATAATGATGTGTTGTTTCTTGGTAGCATAATTTGTCACACGTACATTTTTTCTTCTTCTTCTCTTGCAGAAAGCTCTGCTCCCTCTCTCTCTCTCCCTCTCTCTCCCTCTCTCTCTCCCTCTCTCTTTCTCTCTTTTTCTCCCTCTCCTACATTTTCTTGCTGTTGCTAATTCATGGTGATCAAATGATGTACGACAAAATAAATTGTAAAGAGTGACTGCCTGGAGTTGGGAACCAGAAGGTGTTTTCCCCCTCCCAAGGAGAGAACAAACCTTTAAAAAGGAAGGACAATTGATTTTTGGGGGGGAGCTTAAGTGAGCCTTGACTTTGCAGCTGGTTGAAAGCAGGTAAGTTTCTGGCCTTGTGTCTGCCTTGTGTGTATTTTGTTGTCTTTTGGGCTGTTGGTGGGGGGAAGGGATGGGGAGGGAGTCTTGGGGAGGGGGGGCAGTTGTGTGCAAACGCTCATAAAGATTAAAACTATTGCAAGAAATAGGCAGATGAGGGGGAAAGGCAAAGGAGAACAAGAAGGAAGGGTAACAGGAAAAGATGGGGGGTGGGGTAGGGGGGAAGAGACAACGAAGCGGAGAGAGCGAGAGAGGTATGACCTGGTCCACTTAAACAGAGAGACTCTGGGAGATGTTTCAAGAAAGCCAGAGCTTTGGGGGCGAGAGTGGGGGGTGCTGCCGGGGGAGGGAGCTCGAGGGAGGTTAGGGTCCACCTGGAACCGGATGGTAAAGTGAGTGGAGAGGAGCCCAGTCCGGTATAAATAGGAAGCCGGCGATCCCGGAGCGGCGCCAGGCAGGGCAGAGTGAACCGCAGTGGAAGGGGCAGGTCCGGCGGGATCCCTCGGAGCCGGGCGGCGGCGGCGGATGTCCCCGGTTGGCCGGCGCGCGGGCGGGATGTGGGCAGAGGGTCCCTTTCTGCTCAGCCCTAGAAGGTGCAATTACAGGTTAAGGACCTGGCATATCGATTTCGCCTAGCCTCCCCCATGCTGCCCTCCTTTGCCTAAATGTGGGCGGCTCAGACTTTTTACAGAAGTAGTTCCAGGGCCAGGGAAGTGGGGGTGCCCAAGCCGGGGTGGGGCGGGGGGGGCGCTGGGGACTGTACCGAGGGACTCGAAGGGAAACTGCGGCTGCGGCGACGATGTGGATGGGATGCAGAGACCCCGGAAGGAACTGCGTCCCCCGACCCCCCCCCCCAATTAGGCCGCCCCCCCCTCAACACCTGCCTGTTAACTTGAACTTCTCACAGTTATTGGAGTTAACACCACTGCGCCTGGTGCCAGGGAGGGAGGACCGTCTGCCGAATCCCTCCCGGCTCTCGCTCTAAATCCACCCCAGTAGCCCCACTTCCTCCCGCCTCGTCTTCCTCGGTGCCGCCCCGCGAGGGAAGGGGAGACACTCGTCTGAACTTCTGCGCCTTGCAATGTGGAGGGCGGGGGAGAGGGGCCGGGGGGCAGGAGGCTGGAGGGATCCTCCTGCCAGGTTTAAAGGCGTCTCTGGAAAATTAGTAAAACTGAGTGGTGACGGGGAAACCAACAGTTTGCGAAGCAGGGAGGCAGGCAGGGCCGGGGTGAGGGAAATGAGCTAGAATTGATAAGGACAGCTCCCGCCTCTGCCGAGTCCACTGAGCTGGTCCTCACCGCGCTCCGCTGCACTTTCTCGGGAGAAGAAAGGGCTTTATCTGCTCCCTCAGACTATTAGCCCAGGAGTTTCTCGGGGCAGCACGGATAATCGAAAGGGCTCCCAGGTTTTGGAGGGCTAAGAATCGCCCACCCGCACTCTTGTCGGGCCCCCGTTCCTACCCCCCCCCCAAAACTGGACCAACTGCGGAACGCAAAGCAGCAGGCGCAAGTTGACCTGCAACCTCCTCCGTCGGTCGTCTCTGCACTCTCTGGGCACCCCCGGCTCCCCACTTCCCGGCCTTTCCCTTCCTCAGGCCCGGCATGGACACGAGCCCACGAGGCGTCTCGGCCTCAGCTGCCACTTTGCCGTCGCTGCGGCCGCCGCTGTCGCTGCCAAGAGCCAAGCCGGGGCGGTTTTAGGAAAGTGAGGGACGAAGTGTGTGGGCGGTGGCGAGAGGAGTAGCAGAGAGCAGAACGGGCGCCGGGACCCCAGGCAGGGCCCTTCTGGTGGCGCTCACGGATCCAGCGCCTTCAGACCTTCCCCCTAGGGTCGGGGTCCGGAGGCGCGCTGGGCGGGAGCCTAGCCGAGCACTGACTGTTGTTCTTCGCCCTCCCCTCCCCTTCACACCCTTCCCCACCCCGGCCACACCCCCCCCTCCACTACCCTTATCCTCTCCCTCCCATCCCCCACCCCTGTCTGCCAGGCTGGAGGAGGGTTTAAAGCCAGGTGCGCCGAGTCAGCTCGCCATGTCCAGATCCGGGGACAGGACATCCACCTTCGACCCCAGTCACAGCGACAACCTGCTGCACGGCCTCAATCTGCTTTGGAGGAAGCAGCTGTTTTGCGACGTGACCCTGACGGCCCAGGGCCAGCAGTTCCACTGCCACAAGGCCGTCCTGGCCTCCTGCTCGCAGTACTTCCGATCGCTCTTCTCCAGCCACCCCCCTCTCGGGGGAGGGGTCGGCGGCCAGGACGGCCTGGGAGCCCCCAAGGACCAGCAGCCGCAGCCGCAGCAGCAGCCGCCACAGCAACAGCAGCCGCCGCCACAGGAGGAGCCCGGGACTCCTTCCTCCTCCCCCGACGACAAGCTGCTGACCAGCCCCCGGGCCATCAACAACCTGGTGCTGCAGGGCTGCTCGTCCATTGGGCTGCGCCTGGTGCTCGAGTACCTCTACACGGCCAACGTGACCCTCTCCCTGGACACGGTGGAGGAGGTGCTGTCGGTCAGCAAGATCTTGCACATCCCCCAGGTCACCAAGCTCTGCGTGCAGTTCCTCAACGACCAGATCTCGGTGCAGAACTACAAGCAGGTGTGCAAGATCGCAGCGCTGCACGGCCTGGAGGAGACCAAGAAGCTGGCCAACAAGTACCTGGTGGAGGATGTGCTGCTGCTCAACTTCGAGGAGATGCGCGCCCTGCTGGACTCGCTGCCGCCCCCCGTGGAGTCGGAGCTGGCGCTCTTCCAGATGTCCGTGCTGTGGCTGGAGCACGACCGCGAGACCCGCATGCAGTACGCGCCCGACCTCATGAAGCGCCTCCGCTTCGCGCTCATCCCTGCCCCGGAGCTGGTGGAGCGGGTCCAGTCAGTAGATTTCATGCGCACCGACCCGGTCTGCCAGAAGCTGCTGCTGGACGCCATGAACTACCACCTGATGCCCTTCAGGCAGCACTGCAGGCAGAGCCTGGCCAGCAGGTAAGAGACAACAAAGAGGAGAGCTGGGGTGGAGGTGGGGGAGAGGCCGGAGGGAGGGGAAGGGGTAGGAGAGACGGGGAAGAGGGGTGGGCTGGGCCGGAGGCTTAGGCAGGCTGGAAACAAACGTAAACAAACAATTCACACTGCGTGGGGAAAGTTGATATCTTAGTCCCTGAAAGGTCAACAGAGAACTGGTACATAATAGTATCCCTAAGCACTGGGAAGCCCACATTCTCAGTATCCCCAGAGCGGGAAATGTGGGACTTGTGGACAGAAATTGACAGACAAGTGGGGCCAAAGGCCAGGGCAGTTAGAAGTGCAGCCTTGGAATCATCTGTGTCCAGTCCTCCCTCCAAACCAAAATGAGCTTGCTTAAGGAAGTGAACTCTGCCTTGAGAAGTTCCCACCTCCCTTCACCCCTTTTCCTGCTTTGGGCCAGCAGAAGCGCCTGGCGTGCTCAGAGGAGAAAGCTTTCATTCTTTCTGTCAGAAGCTCAACATGTTTTCTGGTTTTGTTTTGGTTTTTGGTTTTTGTTTGTTTTTGCTTTTTTTTTTAGTGCATGGGGTTTGCTCCCTTTGGAGTTAGAGCTCCAAAATGCGTTGTCTACTGGTATCTCTACTGGAAATTCTGGCATCACATGCCCTGGCAAACTTTTCTATCTCATGGAAAGCCTTTTCTTTTCACTTTCAAAGGAGAGCAAAGCAAGAGGTTTCAGGGTGCCAGGGTGAATCACACTTTCTGGCTCATCTCAAAGGGAGCAGGTTGAAAATGAGGAGGGGCATCATCTAGTTTCTTAGGTCTGTCTGCCTGCTCAGAAGTCACAAAGAAGTTGGAGAGTTTTTGTTATTTGGAATCTGTCCCTTGTGTGTATTGCAAATAGGATTTCATGTCAAAGGGGAGAGAGAAAGGATGCCTTTTTAACATGCTGCTGAGATTTAAAAAAAAAAAAATGCTGTAGGATTTGACCATAGTGTTCTGCTGGCTCCAATTTTAAAACTCTTTTCAATGAGCCCCAGAATAGAATTATTTTCTCTCTTTAGAAAAGAGAAGCAGTATCTTTTCCATTTCTCATGACGAAACATTATGATTGCAGAGGCCAGTCAGGCTACCTCAGCCTAATACACTGAAGTGTTTTATTAGAAGGTACAGGGTTTAAAAATCCATGATGGATCTTCCCATTCAGAAAGATGTGTCAAGGATTGCATCCACCTTGTGCAGCCTTGTGGAACTAAATGTTTATTTTTTCCATCGTGCTGTTTCCACTAGACATAGGTGATTAAACTTTCAAGAAATGGAAGATATTCTCTATAGCTGCTTAGGCAGTGCTGGTATTCAGGTGAGGCCCACAGGAGGCATGGGAAACCTTGATTAGGAACCTTGTAAGTTGATTTTTTCTAGTATTTGTGAGAGATGAGCTAATATATTGCGGTGTCAAAAGATGACAGTAAGACAACAGTACAAGCAAGAATCCAAACCTCTGTGTGCTTGAATAGTGAGTAGAGTCCACGTGAGAACAAGATTGTGGAATGTATACTTATTTTATAAGGTTTTTCATTTGTCTAAAGATAAAAATGGTAAGCTTAGTGTGATTGGCAAATATCACTACACAGTGGGCATTGGTGATTAATATTCTGTTATTTAACCTTTAAAACTTCTAAATGACCTACCAGTATACTTAAGTTAGCACTGAAATACATACTGAAGATTCAGACAACATAGTTGTAGTCCTGGATGTACATTTATTCATATTTTTAAAAATATGTATTATCTAGTATAAATTCAGAAGCCCAGAAGGATGATAAAATTAAGGTTTAACTTGTTTTAAGAGTAATTTTTGGAAAAGAGCATTATAAATTTGATCCAATAAATAATTTCTGAAGCCCTCCATGTACTTGTATCAAATAAGTATGTCTTAGGGTTCAATGTTACAAGAATTGACTTTCAAAATGTAAAATCTGTTCCCCACCTTAGTCTGGCTTCAGCACACCAGCTGGGGCCTGCTGGCTGTGTCCTGGTGGGTGGCTGAGATACCAAGCTGCCTGGCCCTGTGACGACACCTTCACTGGGCCATATCATTTGAAGGATATGTAGTGGTGTCTGACCACTGAATGCTTACAAGTGTCATGGTTGCTGCAAGAAACTGATACTTCTGCATAGGAAGAAACCGTATTTTCCTTTAAAAGCAGAAGATACAAAAACTAGTTCAGTGAACCTATTGTTGATCTCAAATTAACATAGTTTAGGTTTTGTTACAATATTGATAACTATAGCAATTTAATTTTTAGTGACTAATAACATTATTCTAATGTTAATTCATAGAAAGAATGCAAGAATAATCATCAAGTTCTTAACTTTAATGTGGCAATCAATAGCTTTATATCAGACTATTTTTTATAGTATCAGCATAATGTAGAAATATTCTTCCAGCCTTACATGTGATTCAACAGAGAGGTAAATGTGTTAAACAATTGTTTTTGCAATTGCACCACTTTTATTGAAGGCAATTGAGTGGAAGGGTATTTGTTGTATTTATTACTTTTTCTCCACCTGTAGTTCTTAAAGTCTAAATATAAAAAAGTTCCTCAAATTTAGAGAAGGTGTTGGAAAATTAAAATCGACCAATCAGTTGAAATAAGAGCAACATATGAACAAATAGAATAACTTCAAAGAAAATTTACTTGTTAAGAATGTTATCTATAGAAAATCTATAGAAAAACTATATATAGAAATTATCTATATATAATGAAATTTAAACTTGTTTATAAATATTATTAATTTTAAATTTTTGTTAAGTCCAGAAAGATAAAACTACCCAAGCATAAAGACTTTATAAATGCTAATTTTTAATTTTTGCTCTAGTTGCTTCATTTTTTCTAAGTATGTCATTTATGCTCAGATTCATATTTTATTTTAACAAACTAGGCATTAGGATAATAAATTAAAAATAGGAGACTTATTTTCATATATTCAGATCTATACATAACTAATTTAAAACAAGACTTGAGTAGACAAAAATTAACATATTTTGAAGTCATATTTCTTTGTTATTATTGTTTTGTTTTATTGCAAGAAATACAAAACTTAAGAGATAAGTTCTTGAAAAAGTTTTGGAAAAGTCATTATTAAGAATATCTAAAGTATGAAAATTTAATTTAATAAAGGGATATGACATGCAATGTTTAGAACATTAAGAAGTAAACATCAGAAAACTTAATAGTCTAAGTTTATCTAAAATAACCCAAAGTTTCTTTTTGATTTTTGTATTTTTCTCATTTTAATGCATAATTTAGTAATTGTCACCAAAAAGTCAAATAGGACTGGACTAATTAACTTCTCTCTTACACTTTCATTGCATCTCACACAATTTACCAGTTAAATAAATGCTTATTGAAAGCTGAAGGAATTACGATTATAAAATAAAAAAGCCTCAGCATTGCATTTCACCAATATCCTTCTCAATCTACGTTACTATTGTACATGACAAAAATCCATTGAACCTCCTCCAGGGAAACACCTGTAGTAGAAATGCATTCATGAGAATGATTACATTTTTTAAAACATTTAACCACCAGCTGTTACAGTCCCATGTAGAGTTCTGTATTAGTATATAGTATTCAAGATATTTTATTTTATAGAAAGTAGAAGACTACTTCATAAAGATTTCACTCTCTACAAAACATAGCCTATTTAAAGATTTTACATAAATTCATGTAAAAATCTATTTAAATATCGGGATTACTAATTATCTATTTGCTAAAATGACCTGCAATTATTAAAAAGCCATTAGATTTTCTAACACACAGTTTTATTTTTGTTTTGGGTGTTTAGAAAGTGTTGCTCTAAATGTAATACAATATTTTTTGTTGGCTCTCTTTCTAAGAACTAAACAACGACCTTAACAAAACAAACTAATGTTGTATCTATGCATTCTCTAAAGTGTTACTTGGCTTCACTTTGCTTTATACCAATTTGATACCCTCAGATTAGAAGTTGTTAGGTAGTTAGATTTTGTATCAGAATTTACTCAACCATTCAGAATACAATTAGTTTATTATATAAAACAGGACCATTGATTACAAAATTACCTCATATACTACAGGTCTGGGAGACAAATAGTTATATCCTACAATCAAAAAGCAATTAGAGTAGATATTAATACATTGTACTGGCTTAGAGGACATATTGACAAAAGTGGACATGTTCACACTATAATTTTGCTTATATTTTTTCCCATGTTTAGGAACATGTTGAGGTTTACTTGTTATCTTAGCTAATTTATAAGTATCTCAATTTTCTTAACATAAAAATACAGTAAAAAATTGTTACTTTATTTAGAACTGCTGTACTTCGTACCAGGTGATGTTCTAAGCATTTTACATGTTAATTCATTTAATGCTCATAATAGCTCTAAGTGATGGGTACCATCATAAGCTTCATTCTATAGATGGGAAGATGGATGCACAGGGGAGTTAAGCATTTGCCAATAATTGCACAGCTGCTAAGTAGTGGAGCCAAAGTCTGAGTCCAGGGAGTGTGGCTCCTGAGTCTCTGCTCTCATCCATGGTGTTCTGCTTCTCACTATGAGTCTCTCTATGCTGGGATATAAACTGGTGATTGTTCTTAGCATTATATATAGACTTAAGCCTTTCCTTTTAAAAAGAAATTTGTGAGGGTTAAATATTAATGTATCTGGTTTTAAAAGAAGTTAAAAGAAGAAAGGTATTGTTCTAGGCCTGGGACTGATATTTTTTTTTCCCTGTAAAAGGCCAAATAGTAATTATTTTTGTCTTGAGGGGTCGGGGAAGATGGTTGTCACATGATCTCTGTTGTAATTACCCTTCCCTTGTATCACAAAAACAGCCCTGGAAATACATTAATGAATGGGCATGGGTGGGTGACATGTCATTTGTGTACACAAAATTTCATTTAAGTTTCACATGTCATGAAATATTATCCTCCTTTTGATTTGTTTTCAACCCTTTAAGAAGGTAAAAACCATC